AAGGTATTACACAATCTGATTGAAACACATATCCTACTTCGTTTCGTTTTTTATAGTTCAAAATTTCGTTTTATTTGTCTTTACTACACTAAGATGATGATGATGATGATGGTTAGTTGTATTTTACGTCCGCTTCCACCGAGGTGATATCGCACTAAGATCTGGTAGAGTTGTTATATAACCCGCGTTCTGGATGATGTGAGGGATTAGCCAATTGAATGGTCTGTTGCGGCGAGTTTTTGTCGTAACGTGCACGGATCTGTGGGTAATTAACTAGAAATATCAACGCTGATTGGTTAATCAAACTTCTGACGTCATAGGTCAAAAGCCGATCGTATGACCTCTGACGCGACCTTCCACAACAACCGGCCAGATCTTCATGTAGTAGAGGCCATCGAAAGTATAAAAAAACGAAACGAAATATAGATCTGTATTTTACTCAGACTGGATATTACAAATTATTACACAGTCCCCGTTCTATTTATGTAGAACTATCATTGCGTTTGTTGACAGTGACTCTCGTTTTTATATATTCTGAATACCACCACATACTACATCAACATTGTAAACAAATGAAATGAAATGAAATGGAGTTTAACGTCCTACTGTTCTGCTCCTAACCTGTGCTAATGAAGACGGGCATACGCCATACAGTGTGCTATGAGGGAAATTTTGCCCGGACAGCGGCACTACGGCCTACTCTTATACCGAATTCCAACTGCCAAGGGATCTTTTATGTGCACGCCAATGTGTACATGGGACCTCGGTTTTTCGTCCCATCCGAACGACTAGACAGCTTTCCTTGTCAGCCCCTCCGTCCTGCATCACTGACAAGGGAGAACCACGCCGGAAAATCTGGATGAACTTTCTCGGCCAATGCAGGGATCGAACACCCGACCTCCAGGTTAGCGAGCTAGCGTCTTACCCACTTAGCCACGTGATCCCCCATTGTAAACAAATCTGCCCAACACCAACTACGTCATTTCGTCACCGACATTATCAAAAATTCGCTTGTGCATAGGGGGAAACCCACGAGATTGGACAGTTCATTGTTACGTACAAGCTGGTTATCGAAACCACGCCACTTGTCTCATTGACAGGAGAGGGAGAAATGGGATTTAACGTCCACTCGACACAAACTAGGTCATTTCGGGACTAACATATGGTTCAATTTTATTTCAATAATGCGCTTGCGCGTAGGGGTCTTTAGCAGTGGGAGGAAACCAGAGGACCCGGAGAAAACCCACGAGGTTGGACAGGCGACCCTACTCCTTGTCACGTACAACCGGGGATTCGAAACCACGCCAGTTGATTCAATGACAGGCCGTATGATACAGCACGCACGTGCTAACCATTCGGCCATCCAACCCCCCTCTCATTGACAGACCTTGTGATATAAAGCGCACGCGTTAAAACATTCAGCCACTCGGCCAACCTATATTGTGAACAGCTAACATTATACTTCAATTACTGGTATCTGTAGAACTTAAAGTGCAGATAAATGATCTTAAGAAGATATTCCCATATGTTTGCTATGTTAAGTGTATTTTTGTCTGGCTACGTATGGTTCCAGATTCTTGTCTATTTTTTGTACTGAAATGGGGTTTATTTAATAAATAATTTTTATAATTATTTATTTTATAATTATTTATCTAAAAATTAATTTTTATAATTATTTATCTAAAAATTAATTTTTATAATTATTTATCTAAAAACTAATTTTTATAATTATTTATTTTATAATTATTTATCTAAAAATTAATTTTTATAATTATTTATCTAAAAATTAATTTTTATAATTATTTATCTAAAAACTAATTTTTATAATTATTTATCTAAAAATTAATTTTTATAATTTGATATTTAATAAATACTTTTTATAACTAGTTATTTAATAAATATTTTTTTATAATTCGTTATCTAATAAATACTTTTTTATGTTTTTTTTTTATTTGATGAATAATTTTTATATTCTTTATTTAATAAAGGATTTTCATTATTTTTTATTTAATAATTTATTTTTATAATTCCTTATTTAATAACTAATTTTAATTTTTTTTTCTATTCAATTAAAGATTTTATAATTCTCTATTTAATAAATGATATTTATAATTTAATAAATAATTTTATTTTTTTTTCTATTCAATTAAAGATTTTATAATTCTCTTTTTAATAAATGATATTTATAATTCTTTATTTAATAGATAAATTTTATCCCGTCTTCATTAGCCCAGTCGGAGCAGAACAGTAGAACGTTAAAGCCCATTTAATTTAATTTCATTTCATTCAAATAATTTCTATAATTATTTATCTAATAAATAACTTTTGTAATTCTTTATTTGATACATAAATTTTATAATGTTTGTAATTCTTGAATATATATTATTTTTATACTTCTTTATTTAATAATGGGTTAATGAAGAGGGATATACCCAACACAGTGTGGTATGAGGGAAATTCTGCCCGGACAGCGGCACTACGCTCTACTCGAATTCCAGCTGACAGGGGGCTTTTACGAACACCCCAATGTGTACACGGGACCTCAGTGTTTCGTCCCATTCGAATAACTAAAGACGACACGATCAACGGGTAACAAATTCTTTCCAGACGGCAGATAGTCCCACGAGCACGTAAATCGGCCTGTTTTCGGCAACCAGTAGCTGTCAAATTACTTGTTCGCCTATATTTCGGGAGGCATTCACCGCCTAAGTTACTCGGACAACGAGGTGGACACAAGGCGAATGTCTGTGCCCAAAAAGTCGTCTGAAACTTAATTCACGCATGCGATCATAAATATACGAGCGATAATAATATTATTCAACATGTTTAATATTGGCAAATGGTGTCGGAAGAAACTCGGGCGAATGTTGCAGGTCCAGAAAAACTGAGCGAAATTCGCCCGAGAGATTCGCTGTAAAATTTCGCCCTTGTGTGCCCTAGCTATAAACTCAATAGTGGATGCATGAGTCATATTAAAGTTGAAACCGAATCTCTGCTACTTAAACCCATCATGTCGACATGTTCAAAACTGTTAGGTTTTTTTTTCAAATATTTGTTTGTTTTTACCCAATAATGATATTCCCGCATTGGCATCACTCCAGTTCTCTAAACACCAACATAAAACAAAAACAATGTAAAATAACTGTTGAATTTCATGGTGAACGCTAAAACCTCTCTGTAAATTTGGATGTGGTATGTTTTACTTCAAACCCTGAATCTTTCTCCGTTCGAATATTATCTTTTCCGTTTGCATTTTGTTAATTCTACGGTATGTCTCCATCGGTTCCATCCCGCCTCTGGCAAACAACATTTCAGATGGATACCAGAATCTTGTTCCCTAATCTTTTTTTTCCGTATTCAAAATGGCGTATCTCCGTTAGTATTTGAGGTATCAAGTTGAAATTTGACATGAATGTGGCGGCTTCCGAAAACTTCCGGAAATTACCGAGGCCTTCCGATTTTTCCCGAACATGAATAGTTCTCTTCACTTTAAAAATAGACCAAAAATGACATATAATGGTGGTGTTAGCCCCAGAAATTATCTTTCATTTTCAGAAACCCTGTTTGATTGCATTTTGAACCGTTTTGATTTTACAAGAAAAAAACCAAAACAAAAAACAAAAAGCTCAAACCGATATTCAACCGCCATTTTGTTTTGAACCTACTCCAAATGGCAACAATTCTTAGGGAGCCAATTTTTGAATTTCGATTTTACTTACGGTTTAACTTTGAATTTTTCTCGACTTTTGACCTACTGTCTGGTGACCTAACCGTTCAATGACCTTGGCCTTTGCATATATGACGACCCTGACGTCTACTAACAACTAATATCAAAATGTTTGGTGTTGAAGTATGACTTCCGGTTTTATAAATAACAGTACCGAAAAACGTCAGTACTCCATCGGAGTTCTAGTTATATTTCTATTTGTATGAGGGGATCACGTGGTTAAGTGGGTAAGACGCTAGCTCGCTAGCCTGGAGGTCGGGTGTTCAATCCCCGCATTGGCCGAGAAAGTTCATCCAGATTTTCCGGCGTGGTTCTCCCTTGTCAGTGATGCAGGACGGAGGAGCTGACAAGGAAAGCTGTCTAGTCGTTCGGATGGGACGAAAAACCGAGGTCCCGTGTACACATTGGCGTGCACGTAAAAGATCCCTTGGCAGTTGGAATTCGATATAAGAGTAGGCCGTAGTGCCGCTGTCCGGGCAAAATTTCCCCCATAGCACACTGTATGGCGTATGCCCGTCTTCATTAGCCCAGGTTAGGAGCAGAACAGTAGGACGTTAAACTCCATTTCATTTCATTTTCATTTCATTTCATTTTATTTGTATGAGTGTGTTTAATGAAATCTTATTTCTTATTTACGGTATTGTTTTGTCTTATTTTATGTTTGTTTAAATAGTATTTTCTAATTTTAAATGTTTTTGTCTTTAAATTTTATTTTCTAATTTTAAATGTTTTTGTCTTTAAATTTTATTTTCTGAATGTGTGTGTGTATTTAAATTTCATTTTTTAAAATTATCTATGTGTGTTTAAATTGGGTGTCATTTAGTCTGTATTCTTGTTGTTGTTTATTACAGATTTAACGTCCAATACATTACACATGATATCACAGACAGGTTGATTTAATTAAATTATTTACATATGAAGGCGTAATTAACAAAATGGGTATAGCATAAAAAAGGTCGTGTGACTTTGAAATACGGTGTTAATAGAAAGGGTGTGTCACCTTCTGACTTCGTCATGATAAAGTCAAGTAAATATAGGAGATCCAGCTGATTGATGCTAGATACTCTGTATAAAAACTCGTTTTAAACCCAGTGAACATTGGCAACCATTATCAACAATTAATGTTACTATATGAAACTTGGTGTAGTCCAGTTCATTTAACGCCAATACAATGTTTTGGAGTCTTATTCTTAGAGTATTCTTTAAAACGAGGTCTATGGACGCCATTAAAGAATTTTTATCTTTTGTTTGGCATTTGATGAAATGTCCTTACCTGGTTTCAATTTCTTGATCAATTTTGGCGTAGGCTTCGGTTTTGTAGTCGTTAGTGGTGGCGTTGTCGTTGTCGTGGTCGGTTCCGGGGTTGTCGTTGTCGGTTCCGTTGTTGTTGTAGTCGGCTCCGGTGTTGTTGTAGTCGGTTTTGGCGTTGTTGTAGTCGGTTTCGGCGTTGTTGTAGTCGGTTTTGGCGTTGTTGTAGTCGGTTTCGGTGTCGTTGTTGTTGGTTTCGGCGTCGTTGTAGTCGGTTTCGGCGTCGTTTCAACTATAACAAATAAGAAAATAAACAGAACTAAATTATGAATTGAAAATGCAAATTTAATATTGCGCTCACAATGAAATGAAATGAAATATCCCGTCAACACAAATAACATGGGGGGGGGGGGGAGGGAGTGCCAGGACAGTGGCGTGTCGACCCTAGTGTTCTTTGAGTTCCAAAAGCCAAGTTCGTTTTACGTTCACACTAATCTGAGCTTTTTTTGAAGATTCAAATGCACGAAAGGAAACCATAGACAAAATACAATACGATCTCAAAAACATTAACTGTCTCTTGTTCGGGTTCACAACCCACTGTACCGTTGTAAACAGCAATATTTTTAATCAAGTCTACAAGTTTATTGACATGTCAAACAGATTTTAATCTTGCTCATTAACAGTTTTAATTTACAATATAAGTTTTAAATTTACGTGATGATGTAACCTATGATATATATTGTACATTGTCATCCGTATCATCATATGTATTTACATATATTTATGTATGTATTTGCCATTTTAACTGTGTATATACACCCCTTTTGTTCCTTTGTTTTAATATTATGTATTTATATTATCTAGGGAGAGGGATTTTACATAGGCTAAGTCTGTTCCCCAATCGCATTCAGACATCCTGAAGAAAATATTGTTTATAAAAAAAAAAAAATGTGACACCAGCACTGATTAATTATTGTTAAATTGTTTTGGTTAATTTTAACATAAATTACTAACATGTACATCATTCAGTATTCTAGGTTGTATTCCTTTTCTCGGGCAGTCATTCTGATAAGTGCCGGTTTTAGATGAAGAGAGACCATATGCCATTCCAGATATTCCACATACTAAACTTAGGCTGTCTGCGTACAGTTAGCTCCGCTTGAAAACAGACACTAAGCTAGTTGATCGACATTTTAAGTCCTAAATCGGCAAGTGTATGTCAGATGTGAAACGGGGTAGAACAACATTACAAACCAATATACTAATTTTTGGATATGGTGGCCATTCAGGTCTGAGATTTATTCTCGAAGTATGAAGTAGATGGACCTCTGTGTGCAGAATGATGAAGCCCCTCCCCTCCTTTAATGCTAACTAATAATATAAGACACATACAATGCCGAATTAAGACGAAGAGAGACTCCAGCCTATTGGTCCCTGTTAATCCACCACCTTCACGACCAAAAAATTACAATTCACCACCCTCACGGCCAGAGGAATACAATCCACCAACCTCATGACTATAAAAACAACTGAGCAAATCTGGGGATGATGACTATAATTCCTGTACGAAATGCTTATGACATTTTAAAAAATATTATACACCTTGGCTGCAGGTCCTTAGAACTCGAGGCCCTATGCTTTAGTCTGGCAAACCTAAGGGTTAATCTTGTATTTTGCGGCATTAAATAGTTTCAAGGCTAATTCCACCGTTTATCTAGAAGATTAAAGCTTCTATATGACTTGTTCGCTAGGTGGATTTCTGTACGTTTATCGGTGAGCGATAACCTTTTTTTAATTCATCAACACAAAATGCGGGGGAGCTCAATATCTAATTAATGTGGGAATATACCTCAAGAAATTTTGTATTTATATATGATAATGTTTGTTGTGTGTATATATATATCTACAAGCACCTGTTTATAAAGTGTTTAATCTTATCAGGCTGTTATTGTGATAACTAGGTGATAATAATATCTCTCTTCTACACCAAGCTTTGTTGATTGTCTGGAATCATTATCACCAGACCTGTCGCTAGGTCGTTAGATCTTACAATAACAGTACGATTTCACCAGGGAGTCGCGCTGCTGGTTCAACAACCAGGACGTCCCGGGTTCGATCCCGGTTAGAAAGAGAGAAATGGGATTTAACGTCCACTTGACACAAACCAGGCCATTTCCAGACTAAAACATGGTTCAACTTCATTCCAACAATTTGCTTGCGCGTAGGGGTCTTTAGCAGTAGGAGGAAACCGGAGGTTGGACAGTCGACCCTACTCCTTGTCACGTGTAAGCGGGAAATCTATATAAAATTGAATCAGTAACAGGTCTTACGAGTATGATGCAACGTGCACACGTTTATCATCTCCTAACCCTCGTTCTCGGTTTTTTGTCTCATCCCAACGACTAGGCAGCTGTCCGTGTCAGGCCCTCCGTCCCGCACCACTGAAAAGGGGAAACCACGTCGGAAAATCCCGATGAACCTTTTCTCGGCCAATGCAGGGATCGAACACGCGATCTCCGGGCTAGCGAGCCAGCGTCTCACCTACTTAGCTATCTTGGACGTAAAGGAGTCCTCGTCAGGAGGAATTCGTGATTAGTGGGTGGAATCATTTAATTCGTTAAACCCTATTTCATTTTATTTAACGAATCTAGATAATTCCACTGCCGCTAGGACCTCTCGACACGAACCCTGCATCACCACCATAAAACAACATAATATAGATTGTATTATTTCATTAATATTGTCTAGGATTAATAAGTTTCAAGGACTATCAAATTTTGTAAGGTTAAAGCAAACTCAACCGACTGTCAATAAACCCATATGTTTGCAAATGAATAATATAATACGAATGAATTTGAAACGATAAGTCGAAAACGTTCGTCCAGAATAATAGCCTAATCTTTAAATGGCATTTAACGATTCGGAAACACGTTAACACATTTTTTATTGCAAACAATCACTGGTTTTAGTCTAAAAGTACGACGTTTCGAGGGGGGTTGGGTGGCCGAATGGTTAGCACGTGCTTGCTGTATCATACGGCCTGTCATTGAGTCAACTGGCGTGGTTTCGAATCCCCGGTTGTACGTGACAAGGAGTAGGGTCGCCTGTCCAACCTCGTGGGTTTTCTCCGGGTCCTCCGGTTTCCTCCCACTGCTAAAGACCCCTACGCGCAAGCGAATTATAGAAATAAAATTGGACCATATGTTAGTCCCGAAATGACCTAGTTTGTGTCGAGTGGACGTTAAACCCCATTTCTCTCTCTCTCACGACGTTTCGACAAGTATCCTCTTATCGCTCTCAAGCACAAATACATTTAGTAAACTTGAGGCCATTATTTAAATTTACTACATGCCATTGTGCTTGATAACGATAAGGGGGTGCTTTATGGGTAGTATATGACAGAACCACTGAAGTAATATAAAGCGATCGAGTGGAGGCAGGTAAATCAAGTTTAAAAATACATTATGCAAGATTTAGATACCGAGCTGACAGTTCTCGTTATAATAATTTAAACCTAGATAATGAAAAGGGAATGTAATCAAAATTTCTATTAAATTACTTCCTTCTTAAGGAGTTATGGCCGTTTGAAGAACAGTCGCGATTGACATTGCTACCTTTGTTACGATAGTAAACAAAGTCTTGATTATCCATTTTCTAATTTAATTATTAACTGGCAATTGTTTTTAAATCCGTTAGAGAGACGATTATGGTCCTGGCAAGTAAAAAAATGTTCAATTAATGATTTATATAACATTTGAGGCCAAACGAAAGATCTCCATTAGTTGTTACATAATGTATCTTTAAGCAGGTATCCCAATGCGCCAATGGCAATAGTTGAACATAAAGCGAGTTGTCGAGGAGTCGAGGTGTAAGAAAGTTCAACTATCACTTACGGTAATTCTATATATATTATTATATATATATTTGTGACTGTCGTTTGTCTGTCTGTCTGTCTGTCTGTTCGGGGTTGGCGGCTACACTAGGTCTGCCCCGAGTCTGAAATTTGGGGTATAGGGGTAGCTCGGACCGGGGAGTAGCATAGTTCAGGTGGCGTTAGTCTACCACTTCCGGTTTCGGAGTTATGACCCCCGAGCGAAGCCGGTCTGTTCGGGGTTGGCGGCTACACTAGGTCTGCCCCGAGTCTGAAATTTGGGGTATAGGGGTAGCTCGGACCGGGGAGTAACATAGGCCAGGTGGCGTTAGTCTACCACTTCCGGTTTCGGGGTTATGACCCCCGAGCGAAGCCGGGCATTCTTCTAGTTGTATATAAACTAAGTTTGTTTTCTTGCATGAAGTGTAGACGTAAGAGAGAGAGAGAGAGAGAGAGAGAGAGAGAGAGAGAGACTCGACACAAACTAGGTCACTTCGGGGGACTGACATATGGTTCTATTTTATTTCAGGGTTAGGGTTAGGGTTTGGATTAGCGCTAGCCCTGTTTACACCTCGTGATCTTTGGCCAAACTCTTGAAGTTGGTCTTATCGAATAGGTCTAACACTGGAACTGTGCAGCGAAATTCATTTGATTTAGTATTTATTGTTTATTTCTTGAAATGAAATAAAATGAAATGAAATAGGGTTTAACGTCCTACTGTTCTGCTCCGACTGGGCTAATAAAGATAGGCATAGGCCTACGCCATACAGTAGTGTGCTACGAATATTGACGGACAGCGGTGTTAAGTCCTACTCTTATATCGAATTCCAACTGCCAAGGGATCTTTTACGTGCACACCAAGGTGTACACGGCATCTCTGTTTTTCATCTCATCCGAACGACCAGACAGCTGTCCTTGTCAGGCCCTCCGTCCTGTACACCCGACAAGGGGAAACCACGCCGGAAAAATCCCGAGAACTTTCCCAGCCAACACCGGAAGCGAACCTTTCTTAAAATGTCTGTGTAGCTTGTCTTGTCTGATTTGTTTTGTTTTGTTTGTAGGGTGATCCTTCTGCGCTTGCTGTTCAGGTGCGTATCAATATGAAATGAAATGGGGTTTAACGTCCTACTGTTCTGCTCCGAACTGGGCTAATGAAGACAGGCTATGAGGGAAATTTTGCCCCGACAGCGGCACCACAGCCTACTCTTATATCGAATTCCAACTGTCAGGGGATCTTTTACGTGCACGCCAATGTGTACACGGGACTTCAGTTTTCCGTCCCATCCTACCGACTAGACAGCTGTCCTTTTCAGGCAGTCCGTCCTGCAGCAATGACAAGGGGAACCACGCTGGAACGTCTGGATGAACTTTCTCGACCAATGCAGGGATCGAACACCCGATCTCCAGGATAGCGAGCCACCGTCTTATCCACTTACCCACCGTAACCCCTCGGATCAATATGACGCTGGGAGAAAATAATAATAGGTTCAATTCTTGACATTCTAACCCAGTTTTAGTACACATGAACTGATAAATACTAGAACGCATGTACCAAAATAAACTAGAACAATGTAGATAAAATCTTTTGTTTCAAGGGAAAATAAATTAATTTTGAACGCCTTGACTGACACGTGATTATCTAACAAGTCATCTGATCGTTCAGAAGATTTTTCCATTTGATTTGATTTCATGTTAAACAGGCGTTTAGTCAAACAATTCGAGTTAGCGTCATATAATAATGTAGTTTAGTATATCGGATATAGCATCACTGACAGGTTAATCTACTAATAAAAATAAAGAAGATTTATGTGAACGTACCTTCGACCTGGCCGTTGGAAGAGTCGACGTCGGTTGTCTGGGGTAAGAAAGATCGGGCGCCACTTTTAGATCTAAACACGACTTTGCGAGCAAAGCGCAGGGCATTTCCCGTGTTGGTTCTGTAGCCGTGAGAGAACACATTATCCCAGTCGGAGCAGAACAGTAGGACGTTAAACCCATTTCATTTCATTTCGGTGAACCGTCAATTTTTTGGGCAATGTATTTACGTTTTCAGGCACATACCTCAGAGAAATATAACTGTGAAATGAAATCTCTAGCTGTTTACGTTTTGTATACTACTCTCGTCAAAAGGCAACACCTAATAACTCACTTTTTTTTTTATCAAAATTGAGTTAGGACCAAATTTGTAGTTACTAGGGTATGTGCTTCCTGTTGTTGTACTAGATATTCCAATCTTTTGATTTTGTATGCAGTTACACCCATGACACAACCTAGCAACTTCCTTCATTTGCCTAGTATGCCACAGAAAAACCTAGTAACTCAATAGTCAAATCAATGGATAAGCTGGGGTTTAATATTCATTCATTACGTTTTCCTTTGTTTTCTTAAAATAAGAAAAAAGTGAGTTACTGGGTGTTGCCTTTTGACGGAAAACTAAAATACTGATGCGGAGCTTTGTGGAAAACTCGCTTTAGTCAATGATTGGTTTATTTTCAAAATTCGGGTGAAAAATAATATTTTCAGGCAAATAGATAGAGAGAGAGAGAAATGGGGTTTAACGTCCACTCGACACAAACTAGGTTATTTCGGGACTAACACATGGTTCAATTTTATTTCAATAATTCGCTTGCGCGTAGGGGTCTTTAGCTGTGGGAGGAAACCGGAGGACCCGGAGAAAACCCACGAGGTTGGACAGGCGACCCTGCTCCTTGTCACGAACAACCGGGGAATCGAAACCCCGCCAGTTGACTCAATGACAGACCTTATGATACAGCGCGCGCGTGCTAACCATTCGGCCATCCAACCCCCCAGCTATATCAGATAGAGTATCACTGACAGGTTAATTTATTAAGAAAAGTAAATATTTATGTGAACGTACCTTCGACCTGACAGGCCTTTAGTGCTAAACGATCCTGAATATCCTCCAGTTTATCAAAATTATCAACCATCACTGTATAATCCTCAGACGGGCGTGATCCGATTCCCTTTAATTCTCGCTCATTGATCCGTACACCCACACCAATTGCAAACACCTTGACTCCATGATCCCGTAGTTTCCTGGCTTCCATTAAAGTAAGACGGCTGTTGGAAGAGCCACCGTCGGTTGTCAAAATAACAATCTGGGGTAAGAAAGATCGGGCGCCATTTTTAGATCGAAACACGACTTTGCGAGCAAAGCGCAGGGCATTTCCGGTGTCGGTTCTGTAGCCGTAAGAGTACACAATATCCCGAATAGCCTGTAATACCGACTTTTTATCTGTATGGGTATTTAACAGGAATTCTTTGCGGTATCCCCGGGAGAAAGTTGCAGCCCCAACTCGTGTTTTGTTGACACCAATATCGAAGGTTGAAACCAGGTTCGCCACAAACTGCAGCTGTTTGACGAAGTTCGGTTTCCAGATACTTCCCGAATCATCGATAAGAAACACAACATCAGCAGTTAGACCACAATCTTTTGTACCACCTGAAATTTATGAAAAATAAACATAGATGAATCGTGTATTAGAACTCGAATATAGACGAATCCATGTATTACAACTCAAATATAGATGAATACGTGTATTACAACTCAAATATAGATGAATCCATGTATTAGAACTCAAATATAAATGAATATATGTATTAGAACTCGACTTTCAAATAGTGAATGTATAAGAACTTAGCTATGTAAAAACTTTGCAATGTCTTACAATCATAGCTAAATATTTAAATTGATAAAAAAAATTCGTACTGTGTTAAAAACTGACCTATTTGTTTAAAATATAAAAGCTTCGCAATATGTTAAAATGGTAGCTAAGTGTTTAAAATGTATGAAACTAAGCTAAGTGTATTAAATGTATAAAACTAAGCTAAGTGTATTGAATGTATGAAACTAAGCTAAGTGTATTGAATGTATGAAACTAAGCTAAGTGTATTGAATGTATGAAACTAAGCTAAGTGTATTGAATGTATGAAACTAAGCTAAGTGTATTGAATGTATGAAACTAAGCTAAGTGTATTGAATGTATGAAACTAAGCTAAGTGTATTGAATGTGTGAAACTAATCTAAGTGTTTAAAATGTATGAAACTAAGCTAAGTGTTTAACATGTAAAAAAATCGCAAGGTGTTATAAGTATAGCTAAGTGTTTAGAATGATACAAACCTTGCACTAAAAATAGCTAAGTGTTTAAACTGTCTAAAACTCCCAAACTTAGCTAAGTGTTTGAAATAATGTAAACATATCGCGATGTATTAAACACTCATCTCAATCAAAGAGAGAGAGAGAGAGAGAGAGAGAGAGAGAAAGAGAGAGAGGGATGTTTAAAGTCTACTCGCCATTCCGGGACTAACATATTGTTCAATTATATTTTAATAATTCGCTTGTGAGAGGAAGTGTGAGGACTTGGAGAAACCCCACGAGGTTAGACAGGCGACCATACTTCTTTTCATGTACATGCGGAGAATCTCTACTTGAACCAATCACAGACCCTATGATTCCACGCGCACGTGTTAAACCACTAGGCCACCCAAAGATGTTTGTCTCGAATTGACCTTGGTTGTATTGAGTGGACGTTACCCCCCCCCCCTCTCTCTCTCTCTCTTGTCGAATGTTGACAAATTGAAAGGAATTAGAACATCAAAACAATAGTTTCAATTGCTTAAATGATGTTCAGAGATTTTAATGGAAGAAATAAAGTAATAAGAAACAAAAGAAGTTTTTCGCAGCTCGTACCCTAGGGTGTATTTCAAATGAACAAATCTGATTTATTATTTTATTATATTGTTTCAACAGATGCTTAACATTCCGGCTGTTTATCAGTTCTAGAGTTTTTTTAAAAGTCTATTTTCACTTCATTTGGCGTACTTAAATCTAAAAAAATAACTAGCATGTGGCAAATCTATTCATTAGAATAGCATTGAATCAAATGAAATAGTCTACTGTTCTGCTCCAACTGGGCTAATGAAGACGGGCAAACGCCATACAGTGTGTTATGAGGGAAAATGTGCCCGGACAGCGGCGCTACGGGTTATTCTTTATTCGAATTCCATCTGCCGAGGGATCCATTTACGTGCACGCCAATGTGTACACAGGACCTCGTTTTTTTGTTCCATCCGAACGACTATACTTTGTCCCTTGCCAATAGACTAGAATGGAATGGGGTTTAACGTCTCGTCGACACAATACTTAGGTTATTTAATACTAACAAATGATTTTCATTTAAAGTTGCAATTGCAAATTTTCAAGTTATATTTTTAAAATGTATTAAAATAAAGCCTTAAAATAGATGGTATCCATAAACAGTCCTACCTTGTTAAAGAATAATCCTATTAATCCTATAATTCGCTATTGCCAGCTGAGAAATTGGCAAAAATATCATTTCTATTAACTTCAAATTCCAACGTTGGAAAATGGCTGCCCCATGTTGTCAATAGCAAAACGGGAGGTAATTATGTTGTTATTTCCTGTGTCATAGATTTTTAAGGGTGGGAAATAATGCCCATGATCGTATAATAGTGATTTGATAACCTATTGAGCAAAAGACAGAAATAATTATGTTTTGACTTTCTTAGAAAATTTGAAATTCTCGCTTTAATTCTTTGCCATTAAAGATACATAGTTAACAACTAGAAAATTAAAAGGGAATATGTTGAAAATTTCAATCAAGTTACTTTATTTTGAGCCGAGTTATCGCCGATGCAATTATAGTGTAGCCTCGATTATCATTGCTACCGTTGTTACGATGATGAACAAAGTCTCGATTATCCCAATCTGATTAAAACACAGATCCTATTTCGTTTCGTTTTTATAGTTCACAATTTCGTTTTACTTGTCTTTACTACACTAGTAAAGAGTTGTTATCGTTGAAGTGTTCTGAATGATGTGAGCTATTAGCCAATGAAACGGTCTGTTACGGCGAGCTTTAGGCGTGTTTTACATGGAACTATGTGTAATCCATTAGTAACATCAATGCTGATTGGTTAATCAAATGTCTGACGTCATAGGGTCAAAAGTCGCTCGTATGACCTCTGACGCGACCTATCGCTACAACCGGCCAGATCTTCATGTAGTGGAGGGACATCGAAAAAAAAGTATAAAAAAAAAAACAAAACGAAATAATAGATCTGTATTTTAATGAGATTGCGATTATCCATTTTCACTTTAAAGTAGCGAAGTCTCTAACTCAATATCATCCAAAATCTTCAACATTGAAAACACGATTTATTTGTCAAATTAAATCAACATTCATGTTGTGATCTTACCGGAAAAAGATGGGCTTTTGATATCCAATATTTAAGACAAAATAAACATTTTCACTTTAAAGTAGCGAAGTCTCTAACTCAATATCATCCAAAATCTTCAACATTGAAAACACGATTTATTTGTCAAATTAAATCAACATTCATGTTGTGATCTTACCGGAAAAAGATGGGCTTTTGATATCCAATATTTAAGACAAAATAAACATTTTACCATTGGTACACGAATCGTGTACCATAATGCGCTTCAGCCCCAGTTGTATCAAGAGACTCGAAGGACGAGGCTAGACACATTGCACCAAATCAAACGGCGTATGTAGACTGGAATAACCAGACGCTAGAAATTTGCACTCGCTTGAGACTGCTGGCTTATTTCGCCGAACATAACTGATTTGAAATTGGAGTAAAAACGGAAACCATTGAATGTAAATCAGTTTATATACATTCATATTACAGTATTATATGCGTTGCGACCCACTTTTGTGAATTTCTAGGTCCCAAATGTTAGCGATTTAGCTCCTTTAAATCATCAATCGCCAATCGTATTGTAAATCTAGAGTATCCAATGGCAACGAGAGTTGATTATTATCTTGGTAAGTTAATTAATATCAATTAATAATTTATATAACATTTAAGGCCTAAGGAAAGGTGTGTAATAGGCGGATTTAGCTCTTGGATGTTTAAATAGTTACGCTTGTAAAAGAATTTGTACTACTTTTCTTAACCATTGTAGACGGACATACACCATTGGGGGAAATTTTATCTAGCTGCTGCGGCGTTTCCGCCTACTCTTCCTCAAATTCTAACTGCCAAGGATTCTTTTACGTGCACTATCAAGGAAGTTCCGTTTTCAATCCCGGTTTTGGTCGGAAACGACAATTCTCCAGTGTAGTTTGAAAAGAAACGTCATCCAATCGTTCGTTTGGGTGAGACGAAAAATCGAGACCATGCGTTTACATCTCAAAATGCCACTGCCCGGGCAAAATGTCCCTCATAGCACACCTCATAGCGTATACCCGTCTTCATCATCCCGGTTGATGCAGAACAGAAGGTTCGTTAAACCCCATTTTAATTGATATGAATGAATGATATTCTCGACAAATTTCACCTGACACCTGCAAATCAGACTGGACTTTAAGGTCAATATTTGACATTTAAATACACAATTATTCTCATGAATAAATATGACCATTGACAACCCACTCGAGCTTAGTTTTGTTACGTAGAGTTGTTTATGATTTGATTTTTTTGGGTTTATTTTAGAAATGAAATGAAATGAAATGGGGTTTAACGTCCTACTGTTCTGCACCGAATTGGGCTAAAGAATTGGGCATACGCCATACCGTGTGCTATGAGGGGACATTTTGACCGGACAGCGGCACTACGGCCTACTCTAATATCGAATTCCAACTGTTAAGGGATCTTTTACGAGCACACCAATGTGTACAAGGGATCATCCGAATGACTAAGCAAGACACGAAATGAAATGGGGTTTATCGTCCTACTCTTCTGCTCCGAATTGGGCTAGCGAAGATTGGTATACGCCATACCGGAATTGACCGGGCACAAGTTTATTTTATGTAAAAAGAAAACGGCAAACTCACCTTCAATTTGCTCTAACTGAAAAGAAAAAGATGAATAATATACTTTCAAATATACTTTTATCTCGAGCATGTAAATTGAAATACAACGACCCAATACTTGGTGAGAGAGAGAAAAATGAGGTTTAACGTCCACTCGACACAAACCAGGTCATTTCGGGATCAACACATGGGTCTTTAGCAGTGGGAGGAAACAGGGGGACCAGGAGAAAACCCACGAGGTTGGACAGACGAGGGCTATACTCCTTGTCACTTACAATCGGGGAATCGAAACCACGCCAGTTGACTCAATGACAGACCTTATGATACAGCATGCACGTGTTAGCCATTCGGCCATCCAACCCCCACCCATCCCTCCCTATACTTAGTGAAAATGGCCTTTTAAGAAAATTAATTTATTTTGATTATGATTTAAAATGGGTTAAAAGACACAACCATAAATAAAAAGCAATGGGGGAAAAAGGTTAGACCTACGTTTTGACAATGTCGAGATACAACCCGTCCTTTTGAATAGAATTATTTTGTACAATCCAAAGTGTTTTCCAAAATGATCGAAATAACCACAAAAAAGAATTAATGGTTCAAATTTATTTCAATAATTCGCTTACGCGTAGGGGTCTTTAGCAGTGGGAGGGAACCGGAGGACCTGGGGAAAACCCACGAGGCTGGACATGCGACCCTATGCCTGTCACGTACAACCTGGGAATCGAAACCACGCCAGTTGACTCAACTCAACGACAGACCTTATGATACAACGCCCCCCCTCCCCTTATGAAACAAATGAAAATTAAACATTGAATTGATATTTCCACCGCAGAATTAATAGCAATATAGTACAAGAAGGTGATGATTATTTTTCCAATTTAGAAAATAGTTTTAAAGGGAAAGATATTTATTTTCTAATTATTCCTGACTAAAGTATTTTTGTTAATTAATTTATCGGATTCCGTTCCGATCTTATCTTTGCCTTGGTTTTGAACCCGGTATTGGACAGGATTTTTCCAAAGCGGCTTCCCTTCGCCATTGGTATCGACGCAAACCCGAGGTTCCATTGGCCTGCACTAAAAGAACCCTTGGCAGATGGAATTGGACGAAGATTGTTCGTAAGCGCCTAAAATCTCCTCATAGCACACCCATACCCGATTGGGGCATCAAGGTTGGACGTTAAACTCGATTTAATTTCGGTCCCGGTTTGATATACCGTTATTCACCGAAATGGAATTCAAGACTATAATGGTTTTTAATGTGCCCGGACAGCGGCATTACAGCTTACTCTTATATCAAATACCAACTGCCTTGGGATCTTTAAAATGCACGCCAATGCAATGTACACACGGGCCCTCCTCGTTTTTTTTCTACCATCCGTTGTCCCTTGCCGACGACTAGAGAAGCCTGGTTACGTCCCACAAGAAATATTGAATCCCATAGATTTGTGACCCTTGAACAAGCTTTATCTTCTTTTAATATTAAATATTAATTTATATTTAGTTTCAAAAGTGAATTCAAATTTTGTATACGAATTTTTAAAAAGTTCGTTTACTATTTTGTGTTTTTTTTCTCTCCAAATCTTAAAAGTTAGAAAAGGTTTGAGATTTTATCAAATTTTTAAAATTTATTACTGTTAAATACCAGTTGTTTTTGTCGATAGAATTAGTTGATATGCTTTTCATACCGAGGTGCGAACAACTGTAAGCATTGTTTCTCAATAATATTTAACACATATGTTTCTATTTGTCTTAGATATAGACCAAAATTAAAACAACAAAGTTTAAGAAAATTGGCGAAAGCTAAAACAGGAATAACAAAAAAAGTTAATGAAAAAGATTTTAAAAAACACAAACTTACCTTAATCAGAGTTGCTATAAAGAGAACTATCCAAATAGATTTATACATTTTGTCGGTTGTGTTTGTTTTCTGTATATCTCTGTCTGTCTGTCTGTCTCTATGTATATAGATATGTTTCTACTATTCTTACTAATCTCAAGACTCGAGTCTCTTATCACAATAATCTCCAGTTCTTGTTATAGCTGTCTCGTGCAAGATGGAAGGCTACAATCGTCTGGTTTAGAATTACGCGTGTATTTCCGGAGTCTACTGTTGACTATAGAACCTCGTTAATTTATATCCAGGTCAAAAATATTCCATTTTAAACTTCATATATTAACTTTATTTCCTTTTTTTATTATGAATTTAGGAACGGCAACTATTTATGCATTCCAAATTATAATCAATTTTTAAGGAGTTAATTTCGCTCGAATTCGGTTGATCCGATGTCAGGGGTTTAGCGAGCCGACGCAATGACAAGCTGTTTGTTTAGAATTTTTGCGCATCCTTGTGTTTTTGCGCACCTTTTATCCTTGTGTTTTTGCCCATCCGTGTCTTTATGCGCATCCTTGTGTTTATGCGCATCCTTGTGTTTTTGTGACACTAATGAAAAAATCGCATGGTGTTAATAAGGTTGGCAATTTCCGATCTTCGTTACTTTATAATTATTATGGATTTAGATAGCGCCACTTCCACTGTACTGTGCTTCAGTGCACTTTACAATATAGATATAAAATCAAATATGAAAATAGAAAAATATAAATACAAAAAGGATATACAGGTAAGGTACAACATACAATAGGAAATGCACGTACATTTACAATTCTTAAAACATCACCATATAGACATGTGTATAGAATATAAAAAAAGGAGTAAGGTCGGATGTCAAACCTCGTGGGTTAGTTATGTTAGTTCCGAAATGACCTAGTTTGTATCCAGTGGACCTTAAAACCAATTCTCTCTCTCTCTCTCTCTCTCTCTCTCTCTCGAAATATTAGGCGGTAGTCTTTTTTGTTGATGTCGAAAACAAAATTAATTATACATTAATATTGGAAGTGTATGTGGACGTGAATTTTTTAATGTAGATAGACAAGTCAACATGCTACCCTACACTTAATTAAATCGATGTTTTTATTTTTAACCCGAAACCAGAAGGTCGTATATCCTTTACAATTCAAGCCCCACCATTTCCGACTAGCCTTTGATCATTTCGTCTGTTCTGATTTTCTAATTCTTTTATTCTATATTGGCGTTCATGTTATTTTCTCATCAATGCTGCATACCTAGAAAGTAAATGAAATGAAATGAAATGGGGTTTAACGTCTTACTGTTCTGCTCCGAACTGGGCTAATGAATACGGGCATAAGCCATACAGTGTACGATGAGGGAAATTTTGCCCGGACACCGTCACTACGGCCTACATTTATATCGAAATACAACTGTCAAGGGATTTTTTACGTCCACGGCAATGTGTACACGGGACCTCGGTTTTTCGTCTCATCCGAAAGACTAGACACCTGTCCTTGTCAGCCCCCCCCCCGTCCTGCATCACTGACAAGGGGGAATCACTCTATCTAGAAAGTGTATTTATTTATAATTTTATCTAGACCGTGTCTGTCATTTATTACATGATTGTGTATGTTTATATGCGATGTTAATATATGTTTATATGTATAACTGTTTAATTATATATATGATTGAATGTTATTGCATGTTTAGGAACCATGGTGGCTAAGTGAGTAAGACGCTGGCTCGCTAGCCTGGCGGTCGCGGGTTCGATCCCGGTGTTAGCCGAGAAAGTTCATCGGGATTTTCCGTGTGGTATCCCCTTGTCACTGGTGCTGGACGGAGGGCCTGACAAGTACAGCTGTCTAGTCGTTCGGATGGGTCAGAAAAACAAGGTCCTCTGACGTATTGTCCGCAGCGCCGCTGTCCAGGCAAAAATTCCCTCATGCCCATCCTCATTAGTCCAGCCGGAGCACAGTAGGGTTAAACGCCATTTTATTTCATATCATTTCATTATTACATGTTTATATGTGATTGTATATTTTTGTATATTATTATGTGAGGGTGTATTTTGCATGTTATTGTATGTTTTTGTATGTTATGTTATTGTATGTTATGTTATTGTATGTTATTATGTGATTGTATGTTATTATGTTAGGGTATATGTTATTGTATGTTAATCCGTGAGTGTATGTTATTATGTGAGTGTATATCTTATTGTATTTTATTATACGAATGTATGTTATTATGTGAATGAATGTTATTATGCGAGTGAATGTTATTATGTGAGTGTATGTTATTGTATGTTATTATGTGAGTGTATGTTATCATGTGAATGTATGTTATTGTATGTTATTATGCGAGTGTATGTTATTGCATGTTTATGTGATTGCTTATATTTGTTATTGATGTATATTATAAATGGGATGTTATGTCTAAAAGATGTATGTTATAAATGCGATGTTATGTTTAATAGTTTATCAATATGTTTTAATTATGTATACTACTTAAACATACATTATGACGTCACATTAATAATGACGTCATTGTATTAATCATATCAAACATACATTATGCAAGAGCTAAATCTGCCTATTGCAGGTCTTTCTTTGGGCCTGAAATGTTTTCTAAATTATTAATTAGACATTAAATAACTGATCCAGAACCTAATCAACTCTCGATGGCATCAGATTTCTCCGATATTAAATAGATTAGAATGGTTCAGCGATACTTTGATTTAATCAGATATGGAGGACCGAGACTTAGCTTCGATCAACCAGTACGGTGGTTGAAATTATTGCACACGTCTGTCAAACTTTCAAAGGCTAATATCTTCGGTTGCAATAGAGTAATTTGAATGAAATTTTCAAATTATTCATTTTACATCATTTACTTTCGAACTATTATAGCAAGAATGGCTAGCTCTTTATCTAAATCTTACATAATGTATCTTTAAACATCGCTAACAATAAAAAAACGTGTAATTCTTTGTACTTCATTCGTGCTAGATAACAATAGGAGAATACTTGCCGAAACGTCGTGCTCTATGTGTTTAATCCAGTGATTGTTTTCTATATAAATTGTATCATAAAATCCTTTCTCGGGCTTGCAGTTCTACACTACCCGGGTGTTATCTCATTCTGAAGGCTGTACCCCCCACCCCTCCCGAACGCCCCCTTTAGCTATTCCGGCCCTAAATGATCTGGGCTTGAGATCGAACTACTAAACAATGAGAATTACTATATCGAAATTAAAAAAACCAAACATATTGAGCTTGGTGTAATGGGAGATAACTCTGTATTTCGTGTCATTTGGATAGCCGCGCTTTCAGTAGTCAGCTTTTAGACTAATAATCGTTCATCATAAGTGAAATGAAATGAAATGAAATGGGGTTTCTCATTATAAACACCGTACTTCTTAGTACATAGCTCAATGCACATGCATTAACACGTAATCTACGGAAGCCTATACACAACTATGGAAACACTCTTGCAACAATATGAAAATAATTTCCCTCTAATTCCTACGTCAAACGAGGGAAATAATATTTAACGTCTTACTATGCTGGGCTAATGCAGACGGGCATACTCCATACAGTGTGCTATGAGGGAAATTTTGCCCGGGCAGCGGCACTATCGCCTACTCTTATATCGAATTCCAACTGCCAAGGGATCTTTTACGTGCACGCCAATGTGTACACGGGACCTCGGTTTTTCGTCCCATCCGAACGACTAGACAGCTTTCCTTGTCAGCCCCTCCGTCCTGCATCACTGACAAGGGAGAACCACGCCGGAAAATCTGGATGAACCTTCTCGGCCAATGCAGGGATCGACATTCCACGTAATAAATGAAATGAAATGCGGTTTTCTGCTAATGAAGAAAGACACAGCCAATGAATGTCATATGAAGGACATTTTGACTTGACAGCTGCGTTCCCGCCTACTATCCGTTTAATTCCAACTGTCAGGGGTTCTTTAACGTGCACGCCAACGTGTACATGGGCCCTCCGTTGTCCATCTCTATGCGATGTCAACCGCCCTGAAAAATCCCCAGGAACTTTCTTGACCTACACCGGGATCGAACTCACGACCCCCTGCTTAATGACCAAGAACCTAAGTCACTAGGCCATCTTGATCCCCTTGTAATAGAGATGAGGTTTAACGTCCACTCGACACAAGTTACATCATTTCGGGCCTAACACGTACGTGGTTCAGTTTTATTTCAATAATTCGCTTTCGCGGTGGTGTCTTTAGCAGTGGGAGGAAACCGGAGGACCCGGATAAAACCCACGAGTTGGGACAGGTGACCCTACTCCTGGTCACGTACAACCGGGGAATCGAAACCACGCCAGTTGACTCAATGATAGATCTCATGATACAACGAGCACGCGCTAACCATTCGGCCAACAACCAATGTATGGACAAAACGTCACTCATAGCAAACTTTACTGTATGGCCTATCGACTCCATTAGCCCAGGGGTGGGGATCATGTGGCTAAGTGGGTAAGACGCTGGCTCGCTAACCTGGAGGTCGGGCGTTCGATCCCTGCATTGGCCAAGAAAGTTCTTCCAGATTTTCCGGCGTGGTTCCCCCTTGTCAGTGATGCAGGACCGAGGGCCTGACAAGGACAGCTGTCGCGTCGTTCGGATGGGACGGAAAACCGAGGTCTCGTGTACATATTGGCGTGCACGTAAAAGATCCCTTGGCAGTTGGAATTCAATATAAGAGTAGGCCGTAGCGCCGCTGCCCGGGCAAAATTTCCCTCATAGCACACTGTATGGAGTATGCCTGTCTTCATTAGCCCAGTTTAGGAGCAGAACAGTAGGACGTTAAACCCCATTTCATTTCATTACCATTATTCCCTAGTAATAAGCGACACTAACTAATGACTATATGTTTTCAGTCTATTTGAGACAGGTGTAGTGTTACGTCATATTGCAGCTATATCTTGATGGATATACAGTTTCCTTATAACTGAGGAAAATAAAATAATAAATTTTAAAATACAGATGGGACGTCATCCTTTGATGTTGGCCTACCATTATTTCAAATAATGGTACGGGCAATGTGCCAAGCGTACATTATTATACTAGTTGCAATATTGGACGCGCGTGACGTATTTCATTGAGATGCACGTGCTGGATAGCGTCTGTATTTTAAGTTGTTTAATGGTCTCGCAAGACATTGCGTAATATACAGATATTGTACGAGTGCGATCCCGGCCATTAAACAACATATATTGGCCTATAAATCTTTATTACAAATAAAACAACAACCCCCCCCCCAAAAAAAACAAAACAAAACAAAAAACAAAACAAACTATCGTTGTAGATGCCACACTGTACTACTATTAGACTGAATTATCCAGCTCGTTATAGCCCGGGATGTTGGATGGCCGAATGGTTAGCCTGTCCAACCTCGTGGGTTTCCTACCACTGCTAAAACCCCTACGCGCAAGAGAATTATTGAAATAAAATTGAACCATGTGTTACTCCCGAAATGACCTAGTTTGTGTCGAGTAGACGTTAAACCCCATCTCTCTCTCGCGCTCTCTCTCTCTCCTTGTAGCCCCCGTTCACTGATGTGTTGCGTATTATTTAACTGATTAATTCAGCATGTGCAACAACGACATACGGATATTAATGGCTATTTTCGTACGTCCAACTTGATCCACTTCCGCATTCAAGTACGCCTCTGTGTTATAACCCCTGGGGATAGGTGTAGAAATTGAGGTTTAGTCAGCCATAATACCCTTATTATCATTCAGCGATAAAATAAACTGTGGATTTATTTCAATCATGAATGAATTACATACACTGTACCTCGATAACAATGCGTTAATAAACTGCACACTCAGCATGACACTGGACAATAATAACCAGATATGACTGGTACAAACGAAGCTACGTTATTTACGTCATTTATTATTTGGCTCAACTCCACGTGTTTGTAGTCGCGGTTAATAGTACTGGTCCTATCTGATGACACAAGCTGTCATTTACAGGTGATATTGAGACACAAACACGGATTGATCACTGTGGATCTACGACATTCAAACCGGCTGGTCTCTCGTTCAGTTTTATCATTTTTAACGTGTTTTTTTTTCTATCACACATATATGGAGGTAATTCTAGCGAATAGGAGATTATTAACATTGTTATTAGTGATAAATGGTTGCTATGTTTCAAGTCATGTTACAGCTACTGGGTCGCAAGCTACAGGTGAGTTATTTTTACCTGATTGAATTGATTAAAGTCGTCTACACGGGTCAAGGGTTAAAGCTTCTGTACAAATGTTTAAATCAGATCAACAATTAGGCCTGTAGGCGTGTTATATTTTACGTATCAAGAGAGAAAGAACGAGAATTTGATGTTTCGTCAACTGTTATCTATATGGGTCGTGTTCAGATGATATAAAGATATGTTTTATCTTTGTTTACTACCAGAATAAGGCCTATATGTTAACCTTCATTTGTTCTCGGTAGCTTAACACGATCAGGGGCGTGGTGACCCATGATTTTGCATGAGGAACAAGCCCCCCCCCCCCAAATAAAAACACCAAACAATATGTATGTGTGTGTGTGGGGGGGGGGCAGTCCCTCCCAGTGCCACCGGGGAGGGACTTGGGCGAGGGAAGAAGACAAGGAAGTAATATGACAGTTTGGCCCTGTTTTCCACAAACGCCAAGTAGGCTATTACTACGCCTTATTAAATGTTCAGTGGGTGAAGCCGTGGTGGATCAGACATCACACGACAATCTCTCGCCATTTCTATAAAGCGTGGAAAATACGATCAATTGGGGAACTGATTTGTTGAGATTATCAGTTAATAAATGTTGAAAACAATACAAATCTTGACCAATGTCCCATTTTTGTTTTGACCTTGCAGATCTTAAAATATAAATCCCATTTATAAACTGTAGTGGCTACGTAATCTATGAGAGAGAGAGAGAGAGAAATGGGGTTTTACGTCCACTCACTCTCTCGCAAATCAACCGATGGTATTAACATCGCTAACCAATGACTGATTACCCCATGTCATGTTAAATGACGACCGTAGAATTAAACTATATCAACAAGAAGCGGATGTTTCGCAACATTACAATATCTGTATTATGTCTTGAAATGGAATTCCGAGACTACGGCCATACCCATAGGCGCAAGCCCACGTGGCTGATTGACTAGATTGTGACATTTTTCAGATAAAAAAGTAATACTATTAATTAATAGACTTTTATCACTTTCCCATTGTGAGTTGTGACACACAAGGTATAGAATATAGAGCCTCGATAGCAAATAAATTTGGAACTTCACAAAAGCAGTCTGCCGTACTTTCATTTTCAAAAAAATGGCGATAAATTTTCCTCGGATGAAATGACACACGGTTTGAAAGTTTCACCAGACAGGTTGTGAAGTTCGATCGGACACAGCATTACATATGCCCATCTTCACTAGGTCAGTCAGTGCAGAAAAGTAGGACGTTAAACCCCATTTCATTTCCGGATCTAAGCTCTTAAGTATATTTTCATACCAACGCCATTTTCTCCAAACGATGGCGAGCTGTAAATTTACCCCAAACCCGCTGAACTCCAAAGGTGATTATTCGGTGACAAATAGCCGATTCTTTGATGTTCTGGGGTCTTGAACTGGGCGAAAAATAAGATTACATTGAATCTCAGCCAAGATGAGCCATCACCCAACTCACTGCGCCACCTTGCCTGCCATGGCTACCACCTTAGATCAAACAGGTTTAAGACCTGTAGGTATAGTTATCACGAACAATGAATGTTTTAAAATAGTTTGTAGTCCTTTGAAATTAGTTATCCTTGTGAAAAACATCCTGGTTGAATTTGATTCAAATATTCAAGTGCGTTACATTAATTCTACAAGAGCGAACAAATGTAAATGGGGGATCACGTGGCCAAGTGGGTAAGACGCTGGCTCGCTAGCCTGGAGGTCGGGTGTTCGATCTCTGCATTGGCCGAGAAAGTTCATCCAGATTTTCCAGCGTGGTTTCCCCTTGTCAATGATGCAGGACGGAGGGCCTGACAAGGACAGCTGTCTAGTCGTTCGGATGGGAGAAAAAACCGAGGTCCCGTTTAAACCCGTGTACACATCGGCGTGCACGTAAAAGATCCCTTGGCAGTTGGAATTCGATATAAGAGTAGACCGTAGTGCCGCTGCCCGGGCAAAGTTTCCCTCATAGCACACTGTATGGCGTATGCCCGTCTTCATTAGCCCAGTTAAGGAGCAGAACAGTAGGACGTTAAACCCCATTTCATTTCAAATGTTAATGTTAATTCTTAAGAAATGTTAAATTTGCTTCAATAATTTGATCTCGAGGGCTTTTCTTTTTCAGAGTTTTTTAAACCATTATAAGGTCTACCATATTGAATCATACTTGAATAGCACGAGTTTGCATACTATGTGCAGTATCTTGAATAATAGCAATGGCACAATACAGTTATGTTCTTTCAAAGATATCAAACATAAAGAATTTCAGTAGCTTTATTCAGCTGTGAATAAACATATTATGCAAAGAAAAGGGCCCAAATCCGGACGAAACCTTATATAAGAGCTAAATCTGTTATTACAGGGTTTTGTCCCCCGGCTTCCAATGTTATATGAATTATTATTTAGACATTTATTCACACGACAAACCATACTCAACACTCTAGATCATCGGATGACTGAGATATTGAATGACTTAGACTGTTGGATAAATTAGACAATGGTACTTGACAGTCGACTTTTTCTTGTCTAAATTTTAAACACTCATAACTTCGCCCAGATTAAATGAAATGGGGCTTAACGTCCTAGCTTTCAGCACCGACTGCGCAGTGGAGACGGATTAACGCCTTGAGGACAGTGGCGCTACGGTCTACTCTTATATCGAATTCCAACTGTGTTAAGGGGGGGGGGGGGTGGATGGCTGAATGGTTAGCACGTGCGCGCTGTATCATAAAGCCTGTCATTGAGTCTACTGGCGTCATGGTTTCGAACCCCCGGTTGTACGTGACAAGGAGTAGGGTCGCCTGTCCAACCTCGTGGATTTTCTCCGGGTCCTCCGGTTTCCTCCGACTGCTAAAGACCTCTACGCGCAAGCGAAATATTGATATAAATTTGAATATGTTAGTCCTGAAATGACCTAGTTTGTGTCGAGTGGAGTTAAACACTCCCCTCTCTCTCTCTCTCTCTCTCTCTCTCTCTCTTATTATAAATTTATCTACAATTAAATTATTAGAGGATGAATATTCAACGAATACGGATTCGATTTACCCAGATTCCAGATCCCGTCAATCAAACACACCCTTCTGTCTTCATTTAATATTCACGGCATTTGTTTTAAGTTGTCTTCAGGATCTCTATGGCGAAATGCACATTTACTTACGTCGAAGAATCTTAAATCCGTGTTTCAGAGTTTTGAGTAAGATACTAATATTTATTTAGATGGAAGAGACTTTAGTTTCGTAGAAGAGACTTGGATTTAGTTTCGTAGAAGAGACTTGTATTTAGTTTCGTAGAAGAGACTTGCATTTAGTTTTGTAGAAGAGACTTGCATTTAGTTTCCCAGAAGTCTTGAATAATTTAGTTTCGTAGAAAAGTTCTATAATTATTTGGGTAAAAGTCTTGCAATTTAATTTTATAGAAGAGTCTTATATATTAGTTTCGAGGAAGAGTGTGACATGTAGTTCCGTAAAAAAGTCTTATATTTATTTCCGTAAAAGAGTCTTATATATAGTTTTGTAGAGCCACACATTTATTTTCATTTTACATTGAGTTTCGTCGTAGAAGTGTTTCATTTAGTTTCGTAGTTAAACTTAAACCCGACTTGCAGCTTGTTTTTGATAATGTCAATACTATGACTGACATATTATGAAAAATCTTTAATAAACAATTCCCGGTTATATTTCGCACTCATATTGATGTGAAAATCTGTTGTTATTTAACTTAATGTGTTTCCAATAATGGCCGTCACCTAGAAAATCTTTAAGGAATGGAAAGCGATAGGTTGGACCAAGGTGGTAAAATACTTTCAAATATAAAAGCATAATACGGGTGGTAATAGGGGGATTTCATTTTGTTTACATAGAGTGGTTTCATTCTGTTTAAATGACAATATGGATTGTAGTCTGTCACGTCAGTATATAGCTATGGATATGACACCACACTCACTCCTCTTGCCCATCCTTCTCTCTCTATGAATTGTTTATTTCTTTCAGTGTCTGTGTACTTTGTCTTCTCCGCAGATTTGTCTTATTGGGGGCGGGAGTGGGTGGTGGTCTCGTGGTTTAATGCGTGCGCGTTAGATCATACGGTCTGTCATTGAGTTAAGTGGCGAGGAGTATGGTCGCCTGTCAAACCTCGTGGGTTTTCTCCGGATTCTCCCCCCCCCCCACGACTAAAGACCCCATCGTGCAAGCAAATTATTGAAATGAAATTTAACCATATGTTAGTCCTGAAATGACCGACTTTGTGTGGAGTGGACGTTAAATCCTATTTCTCTTTCTCGCTCTTATAGTTTTTGTGTTGCGTGTGGTGCGGTCCTCCTGCGAGTAGCAAGTCTTTCAGGCGAGATCACAAGCCACAACGACGGTGGGTGTACATACTTATAATGCTTGTAAAAGATCCACTGACAGTTGTAATTCTAGGAATAAATAACACTGACTGGTCAAAACCCCCACCTGTTACTACTTCAGGTAACAGATCCCTCAGCGAAATTACCGGTGTCTGGGCGAACTGACTCCTCCGCCCATTTGTCTTGCACATATAACTATAACAGAATGATGATAATACCATACGTTAATCCCAAAATAACCCAATGGTTAATTGTATTGGAATTAATATATATTCATATTAGATACCACTGCCTGGGCCAAATACTGTAATTAATATACATGTATATCTATATTAGATGTCACTGTCTCGACCAAATGGTTAATTGTATTGTAATTTGTATATATTTATATACTTAAATACAGTATATTGACTATATAGGTGTTTACCCATGTGTTAAACTCATATTTTATCTTTATCTAGGTCACGTTGTCTCTTTATTTACATAGAACGGTGTGTAGCGGAACCTTTTTAAAACTGATGATGTTTGTTTCTTTAAATAAAATTATCTTGATCATGTCTATAGGATGGGGGGAAAGATACATTGAATATGGGCTTGGTGTTTCTTTAAGTATTGCGTAATCGTTTGTATGGTGGACATGGGGT